TACTCTCCTTTTGTGCGTCTGACATCTTTCTCATCACTTTTCACCTTTTTGATCTTCTTTTTGCTCTGAGTCCACAGTCCTATTTTTAATGCCATTTCTGAAGGTAGTCTTTACAAAAAGCATTAGTATCATCCGCTTGTTTTGTAATCATCAAAAGATATGAATTGAGATAAACAACTTCTCCTTAAATTCCTTACTTTTTCCATCCTACAAACAACATCAGAGTTCATCCAAAACAGCCCCAATTGCACATATAATTCATAAGCTATTAAACACACTTAATTAGGGTCACAATACACTTCAAAACAACCAATCGGTAGCTCCAAAACTAACCCTAATCATGCTCAAATTAGAAACCCTAAAGCTGAAATTTAGGCACATAAGCTGGAAATTCCTTTAATCAAGTTAAACTACCACATAAAACCTCAATATTACACATGGTAAAGTTATCAAACCATGGCCAATCATAAAGCATCATACATCGGCAGAAAATTCACCAATAAAACTGAAAATTTGCATAACACTACTTCAAGCCATCATATTTCTCATAAAACTACCTATTTTGCAACCCTAAACCACAAGTATGCTAGTATTAGAAGTAAAGAGGGATTTCTAGGAAAAATTACCTTGTAACCTCAAGAAAAATGGTAGCTTAGTGCTTCTTCCTCCAAAATAACTCCACCAAGACCTTAAATCCTCCTTAGTAAGCAACTTTTATGGAGTAGTTTGCACTTTGGTTGGTTGAAACTCAAGATTGAGCTTGGAAATTGAAGTGCAAGATGAAGTTTCTCTCCCTTTCTCTCCTTAAAAGTTTCGGCCAAGCAAGACAAGAAAATGAAGAGATTTTTGGTCAAAATTTGATTTTTAGTAAAGGTGAAGAAAGGTTGGTCAAAGTCCAACTTGCAATGGTTTCGTGACAAATGGCGTCCTAGGGTTTTAGTCTCATCCTCTTGTCTTCCAATGGTTAAACTATCTAGCTAACCTCTAATTATCCCTTAACACCTCATAAATAATATCCCTTGATGCAAAACTTCATCTAATCGACAAAATTTTATCGCATTTACCGCACTAGCGGGTCCCACGTCCATAATACACTTCAAAAGTAACATGAACTAACTTATACTAAAAAAATTGATTTAAAAACTATATTCACTTATAAAAATCTCTAGCAATTAATATAGTATAGTATAGTGAAGAAAATGCATGTGAAGAAATAAAATAAACTAATAAAAAATAAGAAAATTTTACGGGTCCTCATAGGAAAGGTAGGGGAAAAGAATGACTAAGCGATTGTGGCCACAGATGATAGTGAATGTGTCTTGGATGGGCACGTGTAACGGTATTTTGTGACCTGGAACTTGAAGAGCCGTTTGGTGTTGAAGTTGAGTGGAAGGGCCATACGAAAAGTTATGGGGATTTGAAAGCGTAAATGGGAAAGGTAGAGTGCCTAAAATAATCAACTGCCAAAGGCAGAGGGTCGCGAACGAAACTAAGGGAATTGAAAAGGTGCCAAGCTTGATGGAGAAGCTAAACACTGTACGCATATAAAATGAAGGTTCGCGAAATCGGACAAGAATTACCGCGAAAAGGGTATTCGTTTTGGAATTGGCGGCCGAAATAGATGCTTCAAACATATATATTTGTATATATCCTAGCATGTATGTCTATATATATATTTTTGTGAATGGGATAACTTTTTACGAGCTTGGATGAGTGATATTTTTGAAATATCATTGGACTCCACTGAGTATAATTCCGCTTCTCGTGACAGTAGTTTAATATGCCAATATCAATGGTGAAAAATTCTCCAATAATATCCTCATATTTAAATTTTAAATTTTTTTAATTTACATCTAAATTTCCTACTTTTTTTAAAACGTGTATACATACATACATTTTAAAAATATACATTTATACATATATATAGATATATGGATATGTTTATCTTTATATAAATATATTGTGAATGGGATAACTTCATAGAACCTCGGATGACGTTATCCGAAATATCATTGGACTACCCTGAGTATAATTTCATGTTTCGTGATAGCAGTTTAATATGCCAATATCAAAAGTGAAGAATTATCAAATATTACCCTCATATTTAAATTTTAAATCTTTCTTTCTTTCTCTAAATTTCTTACTTTTTTTTACAATGTGTATACATACATACATTTTCAAAATATATAATTATATATATACATATGTATGTCTTTATATATGTGGTAAATTCATATATACAATTAAACTTGCAAATATCAACACAAACTGCTATGCACTTGAACCTGGAATAATGGATAACTATGCAATAATGTATTTCTAAATTATAATAAATAGAATTTTGTTTTTCTTGTAGGTTTTGTGATTGTGATCAAATTAGGTATGACTATGCAAGTGTATTTGTTTTCAAATATCATTTTTACTTTTCAAATTTACAATTTTATCCATGATTGTATAGCATTATGATGTAGTAGTAATACAAAAGAAATACCATGTAAATGATGATAGTTTTTTTCAAATGAACAGAGTGGTTTACAAATATTTCTATCTAGCGAGCTAGGGTAGCTAGGATATTTAAAAATCTTGCTACACAAACAACAAAAGTAAGGTAGGTGAGTGATATTTTTAAAACTTTAGAGGTGTTAGGTGAAATGAAAAAAAAACCTCAGGGGAGGTTTACGATATTGACTTATTGAATACACTTCTTTATGCCAATTATACTCTTCATACTAATTATACTTTTAAACTAAATTACTAATTACGCATATTTTAAAACTTCAAATTCAATTGCTATTAGCGAAATTATATTGATGTGTTTTTATACGAGTAGTATTTTTTAATTTTGGATTCTACGTTAATTAGAATTTAGTTTAAAGACATTCACTGGAGTTTGGACGCATCCAGAGAGCACCGATCGATGTATCTTCACGCGTAAATTGGAATAAATATGGAACTTAATTTTTTTAAAAAATAAATTACTACTCTATATCCGAAATTTACTTTTTGGAGAGTAAGTTTAGTTCATACTATTTTTCATAGTATTTTAAAATATGTAAGTACAAAAAAAATTTAAATTATACCTATAATCATGTGTTATACGAGTATATTATAAGTACTTACTAAGGTACTAAGTTTTAATCATTGATCAAACAACTTATCGTTATTTCAAATAAACTTCCTAATACCAGTTTGAGATAAGTTTTAAAGTAAAATAGCACATGTGTCCCATAAATCAGTAAATCTTGATTATTAATCAAATTTACCATGTTATCAGCAAGAATTACTATTTATGTATAAAAACTTACTGTTACTTGATTTAAACTTACTATTACTTGAAGTAAAATAGTACATGCATTTGCTTGCCTTTTGCTTTGGCTAATTATAAAATTAGACATAATTGTAGAAACCTCCTATAGGTTCTGACATATTCATACAGCCATTCCTAACGTTTGCAAAACTATACAAAACTCCAAAAGACTCTAAGGTTTATATTACAAATTAAGTCCAACGAAGTTTACTAACATTAAAAAAATTACTTTACATGGGGGAGTGAAGCGAAAAAATGGGAGTGTAATAATATCCCTTAATTGTTTATTCCATAAATATCACTTATACATGTATGTGAGTTGAATTTGTTTAATAATAGAAATAATTTTGGTGTAATAGACCATTTTTGTCTGCAGTTGGAGCATATATCTGCCTGAATAAAGCTATTTCTAAAATTTTGCGTGAATACCTAAATTATGTGTGCGGTTGGCGGATTTACCTTTAATATAATAATAATAGAATTACTATTTGTTATTTGTTAGCAAAGCACAACATTATTACCCTTCCCTTCTACATTCTCTATTCATGCAGCACTTCCCCTTGATATTTTTCTACTTTTTATTGTTCTCTTCTTCACCATGCTAATCCAAATGGATATGCGATGTTATTAGTTTCAAATGGGTAACTGAATAAAACCAATTAAATGGATAGATTTCTACTACCTATTTATAATTAATTCAATTAGACGTAAATTCAAATTCATTAGTAAGCAAATGAATTTGAATTCGTATACACAATAATTATATCAAAATTTTTGCAAAGCCATATATCTATCCAATGTTTCCTATTCTTTAATTTTCATTTATTAAAAGTTTTGGAAACAAAATTGATTACAGTAAAACAAACTGCCAACTATTTATTAAGCACTCGTGTGAAACTATTTTCAAGTACCTTTGTCCGCCTGACATTTAAACTAATTTTTTATCATAACTTTTTATTATTACCACACTCCATTTGGTGTGTTATAACCAGTGCTCATAATAATTGAAGTTTTTGCATCAGAATACACTATGTCTAACTTAATTGTTGGGGTTAAATGCAATAAAATCATGACCAACTATATACCTAGTTGCAATTTGCCCCCTAAACTATAGTAATACGCTTTTCCTCCCTTGAATTAGTGTTTGAACTTTGAACAACACTACCATTATTATTGAACAATTTTTTCCTTTTCTTTTAAACTATTCCTTTTTCCTCATTTTTCCTGCTTTCTCCCCTTTCTTTGCCATTTTATTATCTTCTTTTTTCCCCCTTCTCTCATTGAATTAGCCAATGTTCCTTGTCAATGTAAAAACACTTACAAATAACTTCGTAAAAATACTTACGATGTTTTAATCCTAGAGCCATTTTATTTACATCAATTCCATTGCACCCCTATACATTGCCACCTTCCGCAATACGTTTCATGGTCCTTGGGCCCATCGACATTTTCAAACCGGCAATGCCTGTAATGGACACATCAACACTTGCTTTTTTGAAAATCTTTCCTTTATCCTCCGTACATGTGAGCTGCCATGTGCCTGCTTCTATACGGTTCCTTTTACCTTTTCACATTTCTCTTTTATTTGTTGAATACACTTCAGAAATTATTCAGAAGGGCCAGTCAAACTAAGGTACGAATTAAAAGGAGTAAAGTCAAAACTGTCAAAAGGAAAGGAAAAAAGCGGCAAAAGTGGCACAAGAAGACCGATTAGACCACTTCCTTCTGTTTTACTTCGATGAATTTCTTCAAACAGGAATGATGAAGATGTTATAAAAAAACTTTCCCAGACAAACTTGAAATTGCAAGGTCAAAAGAGCAAAACCATAATACCAATGAGGGAATGTCTAACCATCAATATACCAAAATTTTCCGCTCAACTTAATCCCAACGAAACAAACTACAAGCAAAATATACGGTCTGCTGTCCATCAACCATTCGTCAAATGCCTGCTGGTCTAACCAATGCAAAATGTGGCTCAGGATTTGCCGACATTAGTAACTCCAATAGCACAACGTCACTAGGATGATGGATCTTCAAACCAGGTTCTAAAAAGCCTGCAACAAATACATGCCAAAATAAACAGCCACCTAGTAATAGGCAACATAAAAAATATCGAGTAGTACAAACTTTCAGCCTTTACCAGGAGAAAGATTTCTTCTGGCATACAACTCCTTTGTTAAGGGGTTTGATGCCCAGTGATTGACAGCCATACGGCTTCTTGGTTGGAATCCAACAACTTCCCCTTCAGTAGACAAAACAACCTACTTAACCAAAGACATCAGTAAGAGAGAAGAAATTCTTGATTACTATAGCTAACACCTTCCAACATTAAGCTCATGAACAAATTCTTGATTACTATAGCTAACACCTTCCAACATTAAGTAAATTTTTTTTTAAAAAAAAAGAACTAATAAACTACCATGCTCATATTGGAAGCCCATACAGCTGCAGTAGAAATCCTGCAACTGCATGCAATCCTAGAGAGTCAATACTTATATGTTAACTTGTGCTAAAAGCATATCCTAAAAGCTTCCTTGATAGTTTGATGTAAATGAAGAGTTAAGGAACGAAAGAGTCCTATTATGCACGAGCTGTAATTTCATATGAGATGAGAGGCCCACTAGAGAAGGGGGTCAGGGGCCAGTTACGTAGCTAACAAGCAGCTTTGGATATTAACCATCATTTAAGTATAGCACACATCTAGTCAAAATATGCAAATATAACCGAGGTAAAAAAAAAAAAACATTTCATGGTACCATAAACATAATAGATACAGTTTGAAAGAAAGTTTTCTACCTTTCTACTACTAAAGCAGTTAAAGATTATAGAAAGTTTCTACTTGCATAGCACACGTAAGGAAATCTAACTTATAGTTCATGTCTGAGAAAAGTTCATTTTGAAGGCGAAAAAGCATCATTCGGTTGAACAGATTAAAAGAGCTTTGGAGGCTGCTTCAAAGTGTGGTAGCTTTGCAGGAAGTTCTTCTCAAACCCAGAAGCCCCAAATTTGACCATCATCCAGATAGTATTTCTAAACTGAACTACCTAACACAAAAGTTTTTATGCGCAGTTACAAAACACTTTTTTTGAACTTTTCTACAAGAAAAGCACTTCAATCCAGATAACCACACTCCCAAATCGCGCTCGTAGTATGGAGTTGAATATACATATGCAAATGAGAAATAAATAAATGCCTGGCCATAAATTTTTCTAGCTTGTAAGTCGCAGATTGTTGGTCTTCCTAGTGCAACGTTACATTCACATACCTCCTCCATAAATCTACTCATTTATTTAATTTTTTTCCCAGCTCATAACCATACCATTAATGGCCAAAATTGAGAAGAAGCTAAGTTTATAAGAAAATGCAAGATCTAGTTAACCAAAAAACCTGATAACTTGCAATATCTTGAACAGATCCTTTCATCTCTTCAATTCGTTCTCCTGGCAATGTCACTGTGGATAAAACATCTGACGTCTTGGAGTCAATTTCAACCATCCTCTTAAGGTACAATGGCAGCTCTCCAGTCCATGCACAATGACCAGCTTTTGTTATTATTTCTCCAGGCCAACCAAAAGAGTCCTTAAGTTTTCTGATTACTGCAATGCAGCAAGCTTCCAACTACAAAAAAGGAAATGCTGAATTAAACAATTAAAACACAAGAACCACAGATTCCAATGTTCCAGAAAGCCAAATGCAGCAATTTAAACATTAATAAGAAAATCTAACTGATAAATACTTTATCAAGCAATCACACATACAGTTTCCTGAAAAAGTCAAGCTTGTCAAAAGCCAATTGGCAGACTCCAATTGGCAGACTCTAATTTATCTAAATCAAGCAGATGCTAACTACAATCGTGCATAGCAATACAAGTTCTATCTTCCAAAGGTTTTCACATGGATTACAGAACGCAATATTTTTCTGAATAGTAATGACATAATCATAAAGGAAAATTTTATATAGGCATACATGCCATTCAACACCATAAATAGGAAATACAAAAACACAAGGAAAATGAAACATAAACCAAAGCATTGATTTAAATCCAGCTTCACTGTCTTCCACTTTTGTCTTCCGACAATGTTGCCAGAAAAAAAAAATCGGTAAATTTCACCAGAGCACTCCAAATTTCAAATGTTTCAAATAAGCACTTCATTTTTATTCCCCTCCTTATTTATTTCTTGCTTTTTTTCTTTTTTTCGCCCAACCTCATTAAATTTTCAAACGAAGTCTTACTGCATAAAATAGTGCTAGTTTATCCTAACCACTCCCAAAGTTTTATAAATATTACAGGGACACCATTAAATCGTTTAAAATCAACCTTGCACTAATCTTCTGAATTCAAGATTACCACTTTAAAGAAGACACATCAGGAAGCTCTGTAACATAATCATAAAGGTGATTTTCTAAAATAAAGTCCCTATACCAGCATTGAGATCGATGGTCCATGTAATGTACAGAACTACTTGCAAATATGACGGAATCTCAATAGCAAATCAGTATGTGTAAAACTGAATTAATGTTCATAAAGGGGCAAAGCAAAATACATCTTAAGCTTGAAAGCTATAATCAAAATATTTATGAAAGGAGTCAAGCAAAATTCATATCGAAGATAGTCACTTCCCCAATGTTCCTGTTAGGAGAATATCAGTATTCTTGTAAATAATATTAGTAAGGGTATTCTTGTAAATAGTTGGTTAGGTTTGTACTCCTATAAATACTAGTTGGTCACTCATAATACGGTGACTAGATGTTTTCCTCCCAAGATACCATGTTAACATGGTATCAGAGCTAAAACGTGGGAGGGGTGAAGTGCTAAGGTCCTAGGGTTAGGATTAAACATCTAGCAAAAGTCTTGACGCGACACTGTTCACGCGGTACTATTCACGCATATTGTTCATCGCGTACTGTTCACCGTGGCACTGTTCACGCATACTGTTCACGGAGCACTGTTCATCGCTAATTCTGATTGTTGTTCTGTTTGAAGTACTATTTGCTATGATTAAAAGTTTTGCTAATGGGGTTACCACTGACCAAGTTGAATCAAATTCTTCAGCACATGGGTCCTAGAAGACTGTTACTATATCCGAGGAAGATTATGTTAAATTCCTACAGTACCAAACTACAAATCACGTATCTCTTTCCTCTGCTTCTTTAGCACAAAAAGGTAATGACTCATGGATTATTGACTCCGGGGCTACTAATCATATGTCAGGTACCTCTAAAAATTTTTCTAATTTTCAAGAGTCTACTTCCTTTCCTCATGTTACTTTAGCTGATGGATCTACCACTAAAGTTAAAGGACTAGGCACTGTAGAAGTTAACCCATCTCTTTCGCTGTCTTCTGTTCTTTACGTACCCACTTTGCCTTTTAATCTAATGTTTGTTGGTAAGCTCACTAAATCTCTACGGTATTCAGTTACTTTTTCTCCTGATTTTGTTGTCATTCAGGATTTGAAGACAAAGAAGACGATTGATGGAGGGCATGAGTATAATGGTCTTTATTTTCTCAACTTTAATGGTCCGATTGCATGTCTTGCTACTGTTTCTCCTCTTGAAATTCATTGTCGTTTGGATCATCCGTCTTACAAAATTTGAAAAAGTTGGTTCCTACTTTGAGTCCGTTGTCTTCGTTAGAATGTAAATCTTGTCAGTTAGGAAAACATCATCGTGTTTCTTTTGCTCCTAGAGTCAATAAACGGGTTTCTGAACCCTTTATGCTAGTTCATTCTGATGTTTGGGGTCCTAGTCGAGTCACTTCAAAGTTAGGTTTTAAATATTTTGTAATCTTTGTTGATGATTTTTCAAGAATTACATGGCTTTATTTAATGAAAGATCGTTCAGAACTATATTCCATTTTTTATGCATTTGTTACAAAAATAAAGAATCAATTTGATGTGCCTTTACGTATACTTCGCAGTGATAATGCGAAAGAATATTTTTTCACTCCTTTTAATACCTTCATGACTAAGTCCGATATTATTCATCAGTCCCCGTCCTCACACTCCACAACAGAATGGAGTTGCTGAAAGAAAAATTGGACATCTAATCGAAATTGCTCAGACACTTATGTTGCACATGAATGTGCCCAAACAATTTTTGAGTGATGCAGTTCTAATTGCATGTTATTTAATTAATCGCATGCCATCTAATATTCTTGGAGGCCAATTACCTCACTCCATCCTTTTTCCTCATGAATCTGTGTTTAAATTACCTCCTCGTATTTTTTGATGCGTGTGTTTTGTTCATCAGCTTGGTCCCGGGATAGATAAATTAGATTCTCCTGCCATTAAGTGTATTTTCTTATGATACGCATGAGCGCAAAAAGGGTATAGATGTTACAGTCCAGTTTTAAATCGTTTTTTCACTTGTGCTGATGTTACTTTTTTTGAATCCATTCCTTATTTTATGAAGCAAGGTATGTCTTGTGAGTTAAACCAGTGTTCCTCTTTTCCTTCTCCTGTTTTGTCAGTCCCTTTACCTTTATTACCTGAGTTATCTAGTTCACCAGATTTCACAACTCGATTATCTCGTCCTAATCTTCAAGTTTATTCTCGTCGTTCAATGGTTGAGAACGCTCCTGATATGCTACGCACTTCACCAATTAACTCTCAATCTTCAAATCCAGGTATGACGCCCTCCTGTGAGTCAGATCTTCCTATTGTTTTATGTAAAGGTAAGAGACATTATACTTCTCATTCTATTTCTAATTTTATCTCTTATTCTTGTCTCTCTCTATCATATTCTTCTTTTGTTGCTTCCCTTGATTCGATGTCCATTCCTAAGTCTATTACCCATGCTCTCAATGATCCTGGTTGGAGATTAGCTATGCAAGAAGAGATGCTTGCTTTGAAAAAAAATGGTACTTGGAATCTTGTTCTTCCTCCTTCTGGTAAGCCGGTTATTGGTTGTAAATGGGTGTACACTATAAAAGTACAACCTAATGGTTCTATTGATAGATTGAAGGCTCGTCTGGTAGCTAAAGGATTTGCTCAGGTGTATGGAATCGACTACTTCGAAACGTTTTCTCCTGTTGCAAAGATTGCCTCTGTTCGTCTTCTTATCTCTTTGGCAGATACTTATAATTGGCCATTGCATCAGTTGGATGTGAAAAATGCATTTTTGCATGGAGATTTGGAAGAGGAGGTATATATGGAACAACCTCCTCGATTTGTTGTTCAGGAGAAGAATCCGCGGTTGATTTGTCGTTTGAAAAAATCCTTGTATGGATTGAAACAGTCTCCGAGGGCTTGGTTTGATCGGTTTAGTAGTGTTGTCATAGAGTTCGGTCTGACAAAATATGGAGTAGATCACTCTGTATTTTATCGGCATTCTAATGATGGTAAAATTTTATTAGTTATTTATGTGGATGTTATTGCGATTACAGGTGATGATGTTGTGGGGATTCAGAAACTTAAATCCAATCTGCAGGCAAACTTTCAGACAAAGGATTTACGTCGTCTACAGTATTTTTTGGGTATTGAGGTAGTTCGGTCTAAATATGGGATTTATTCATGTCAAAGAAAATATGTACTCGATATGTTGAGTGAAGTTAGGATGTTAGGTTGCCGACCTGTGGATGCTCCTATGGATCCCAATGTGAAATTATTATGAGATCAAGGTACATTACTTGATTATCCTAGGCAATATCGAAGACTTGTGGGTAAATTAAATTATCTCACTGTAACGAGACCTGACATTTCGTTTGCAGTGAGTGTTGTGAGTCAATTTCTTGATACCTCTCGTACTAGTCATTGGAATGCTGTTATACGAATTCTCAGGTATCTTAAGAGTGCTCATGGAAAAGGGTTGCTATATCAAAATCATGGACACACTGATATTGAAGGATATAGTGATGCAGATTGGGCTGGTTCTGCCTCAGATTGAAGATCGACCACAGGATATCGTGTGTTTGTTGGTGGTAATTTAGTGTCGTGGAAGAGTAAAAAACAAACAGTTGTCTCCAGATCAAGTGCAGAATATAAATACCGCACTATGGCTCACACTGTGTGAGTTGGTTTGGTTGAAGAGCATGTTACTTGAAATTGGATTTGAGCATAAACAGCCTATGAATTTAGTGTGTGATAATCAGGCAGCTGTCCATATTGCGTCTAATCCAGTGTTTCATGAAAGGACAAAACATATTGAAGTTGATTGTCACTTCATTCGAGAGAAATTGCTTGACGGAATCATCAAGACATCTCATATACCGTCTGTAGATCAGTTGGCTGATTTGTTTACCAAGAGTTTAGGGGGTTCTAGGGTGAAATACATTTGTAACAAGTTTGGTGCTTATGATATATATACTCTAACTTGAGGGGGAGTGTTAGGAGAATATCAGTATTCTTGTAGATAATATTAGTAAGGGTATTCTTGTAAATAGTTGGTTAGGTTTGTACTCCTATAAATACTAGTTGGTCACTCATAATAAGGTGACTAGATATTTTCCTCCCAAGATACCTGTTAACAGTTCCCACCATCTTAGACCCTTATAAATCTATTAAATCATTATGTCAATATCATAGTTTGATCAGACTTAGTTAGACAAAGTTGCCTATGCATTAAGTAGTCTAAGATATTGCAAGTACATGGGCCCACCATGCAATTGAAGAGGTGGAGTAATCGACAGAATTGGATTTAAATTTCCATCTACGGAAATTGGAAATTGCCTTTGGTTGGACTAAAAGGTTAACACATCAATTTGGGAGGAAAGGAGTAGTTCTAGTATGTCACACCACATAAACAGTATAATCTAACCAAGTCACATTAGATCTCCAATTGTAGTCCATATAAGTCTCCCAACACCTTAAGTGGAGAATGGTATACTTTACCGGCATATCTCATCATAGGCCTCACCAGAAGAGCTGGTTCTATCAGTCCATTTATAAGTTTATGCATTGTAGCAGCCTAATGCCGTCATGAGATGAACTGAGAATGAGGTGGATGCTGGAAAAGGCAGGAGATCCATCCCCTGAGGTAGGCTGTGAATAATGATAAGCGGAAAGAAAAAGGATGAAGAGGATTAATTTTTATTTGGTTCGTCTAATAAGTTAATCACACATAATTCTTGCATAAAAAATTCTTGCAGGATTGTGGAGAAAATTTCATTTGCTTACACCTATACATTAAAATACAAAATCTTTATTCATTAACTGCCAATTTTTCTTTCTAAGTTTTTCATTTGAACTAGCACAGCAAAGGTCAGCTATTGGTCCTTTCATACTTGAATTTGGCAAAATAGATGTTCCCTGTATTTGGAAGAAATACTGAAACTTCAAAATTAGATGAAAATTTTATTTGTTTCACATAAGTTCTAAAATTCAGGTTGAGATGTACTTTTTCTTCTTGCAATTAGACTACTCAAGCCTCAGTCAATATCAACCAAGGATTCAATAAGCAAGATTGTAATCAGAGTCTTATCAGCACATGAAAATCAGTTCAACATATTGAAGATGTTTTGAATTAACATGTTTAAAAAGTAAATGAACTTAAGCAATCATTATCATCACGGTCATTCCGGGATGGCAACCTCAACAACTAGCACATGTTTATCAATATCAGAGACGAGACTGATTTGTAACTGTTGCGTAAAATTGAACTAATAAATTATCACAAAAAAATGACATAGCATGAGAACATCAGTCAAGAATAGTAGTTTAGAATTGCAAAATGCATATAAATTAATTCCAAATCTCTCTTAGATTATGTCCATGGCTTACAGAAATGGTATCTATTGAATCTACAAGAGATTTGCAGTTGAAGGAGCAGAATAACTTAAAATTCACAACAATGAAAATTATGCCAAAATCATAATCTACTAGTCCAGAGGAATAACCAAACTCTGGCATAACTAGCAAGAAATCAGTTTGCATCAATTTGCCCTCCACACATACGCACACACCCAAATGTACATATATGCATATATTTATGCACTTAAGAAACATATCAGATTTCAATAAAATAAACCAGTAATATTTTCTGGATGGAGACACTCAAAATCAAATGTAACCTAAAAATAACTATTTTATACACAGAGAATTGAGCTGATACACAAGCTTCAGAATCCCAATGCCTCAAAACCCAGTAACAATCAGAGTAAAATAGACAGAACAAGAGCAACAAAAGCAGAAATAGTAGTGCATCTTGCACAAACCTGGGTAAGCCCCAAAGATTCGGGTTCAATACATCTAATGCAAGATGACTGAACTGAGTGATCTTTATGGTACTTCCTCCAGCGAGTCAGATTAGGCAGGTAAAGTTGACTTAGAATGCTTATCATAACAAGCAATAGGCCACCTGCGAGGGTGGCTGACAAAATTTTAAGCAAAGAACTGCCGCTCTGTAAAAAGAAAAGGTAGATAGCTCAATATCATCAATACACACAAAATAAATGAAAATTCATTATGCCTCGGTCCAATCCAACAGTCAAAGCATGACAATGGAAGAGAGGAAGAGAATGTTAGTAAGAGCCTGAAATTTTAATTCATATTAATTATATATGCCACTAGAATTAATCACTTATGAGAATTTATGCTTAAGCTTATGGATAATTAATTGCCAACAATAACTGGCAAAAAGTCCCCAGCAATACACCCAAATCTGCTAATTTATCAAGTGCATAACCACAAACTCCTCAGTAGCACCACGTGAAGCAAGCTCACAGCAAGCAGAGGCACAAACAGAGCTAGAGATAGCACCCAAAAAAAAAAAAGTATAACAGCTGAATCACTTTCCTCCCTCTTGCGTCTTTCATGCTTAGTTAAAGTTATATTGTCATCCAAGATTTATGTTCTTCAATTTACTAACTTATGAAATATTTCCTGGCAGATACTAACAATAAATCACAATAGCTCCAAAAAGCCATCCTACTTGAGTAGCTCAAGCAGAAAGCAGCTTGATTTAACATCTTATTTATCAGTTATATTTTCAAGTCAACACAAAAATCCTATCATGCTGAACTTTAGAAGATCATGCATATTCACCATTTTAAGGATACATTAATCTCTAAAAGATAATTTGTTTCTGAAGCAAATTTTCTTTTTTAGTCACTCTGTATCCAAGGTGATTTCATTGACTTTTTTTTTTCAATCCAGCTTGGTTGTTGTCCTTGAATACACAAATCTCTTACCCTCCCCGTTCCTTAGTCCTTAACATCTGTCCAGCCAATGAAGACACAAAAGTACAAAATTAGCAACTACGTACATAAGCGAAAAACAATACAAGCATGCCTATACTTGCAGTTTTTCATGTCCATTTCAGCAACAGCAAAATCAAATTAGGTCCTAACTGAGGTTGCTAATGAGAAGAATTGATTGGCTATAGTTACTGTCTTTTGAGCTACTTGAACAAGTCAACTGCCAAGAAATCTTAGCACTTCAGCTCATATTTCCAGTCCCTACACGGTAAAGTGCACCGTCTAATTGCCCGTCAAGCCTTGGACTTGAGCAATAAAAATTAAATCGAATAGCACCAAATACCTTATTTCTGGACAAGTTGGAAAGGTTCATCATTGCATCACACGACAATTGTTTAGCTGGCAAAGTGAAGTCATCTTGATAATAAATATCAAGAATGTCTGCCAAACAAACCTGCAAATTTAATCAATATAAAAAGAATTCCTTAGATTTCATGGTTCCTCGTAGACCATGATACTAATCACATAGCTTTGTGATAAGGCATATCTAGAGTGAAGGTGATTAAACCAGTAAAAGCTTATGTCACTCTTCTCACCCAAAAACATACAAAGAAGCCCTGTGCTACCTTTATGTAATCTCCACTAATAGTTGTATCTTTTTCAAATGAATGGCAAACATATGCAACATGTTCTGTCTATGGCTGTATATTGAAAAAAAAAAGGCTGAATTTCTTTTCCATATTCAGGGAAAAAAAAAAAGACTGAACGGCAGAAGCATTCCCAACTGTGATATTTCAGAGAATCAGTTAAAATTCTATTGTCCATGCTAAGAGAGAGAGACAGACACACATACAGAGATAGATAGATAGAGATAGAGAGAGAGAGAGAGAAGAAACCATTTACACCAGGAATTGATACTCTCAATTTCAAACTCCATCCCGCCTTTATCTGCACCTCCCCCCTCCCCCCAAACAAAACCCCAAAAAAAAGAAAAGAAAAAGAAAATTATGACAATTTGTATCTCAAAAGACAACTCTCAGGATAAGACCAAGCAGTCAAGCAACTCTAAATGTCATTAAATGAAAGACCAAAACTACCTCATAGGCATGCAACTGGACAACTGCAAGGACAGACATTACAGCTACTACAACATCTAAGATTTCAGGAAAGGTTAGAAGTGTATGATATCTTTCACACTGTTCATTGCAAAAATAAAAAATAAAAAATGAACTCATACCAACTTGCCATTTAGAATGATATGCAAGTTAAATCAGATGTATCTTCCAAGTGAGGGGCAAAACCTTAGAAATTTCCCATTCGACTGAACCATTAGTAACACAATAGGAGGCAATGACAGCCACAAAGTATTGGCCTTTCTTACCCTTTTGGTCAAGTATAATAGACATAAAATAGTTGGAAGTCCACAAAAATAGGAATAGTTTACCATTTGGCAATGAGTCAAGAGAATTTCCCAAATATTCGTGGTGAACAAATTCCCCCCTTCAATTTTCACATCTTTGAATTTGCCAGCATCTATTTGCAGCCGATATGAAGGTATATGTTCATTAAGCCCAGCAGTAAATTCAGGGCCATTAAACTTTTCCAATTCAGGGTCCGATGACAATGTCCACCAACTATATTTTGACTTAATTCCCATAGATTTCACCCTTCTTGAGCTAAACTTGTCCAGCAGAATTTTTGCATTGGCAGCTATCTCGTTATCAAGTAGCTTATGTAGAATAATGGATGAGTCTTTGGATACATATCTTTTAGGTTTGTGAAACCATTGAATAAACTTTGCAGATGCTCTACCAAATGATTGGCCCACTGTATGACTTTCAATACTTTCAAGTGCAGAAGAGCAAATAACTTCAGCAAGCACAGAAAGAATATGTTCTTCTGAAGAGCTGATGGTAAAAGTTGCAAGTACCTGCTGGTAGGAAAGTAAGAACTCAGTCCATCAGTGTCATGTGGCACCTGTTGGACAGACACAAAGAAAGAGCAGACCCATGCAAGAAGCAGATATCAGATGCATTAATTCGAAAGAACAAAGTAGTAGCTCAATTATTTCTTTTTGGGTTGTACACAGCAGGAAAAAGATTAAAAAAGAAAGAAAGGAAAAAGGTTAATCTGACCTCTCTCAGATTTCCAAAATCATCGATATTTCTTTCAGTTCCACATCTAAATGCCACAAGCTCAAAGCTCCAAAGCTGTTGCAGTACCACCTGTCTAAATGTCATGGCAAGTATGTTCGCCGACGTAGTGCTAGAAAGAATATCTTCACTAAGGGTAGCTTTGAGTTTCTTAGCCTTCTCTTTTACTTTGCTAGCCGGTAAAAACTACAATAACGATGGATTCAGCAAAAGTCCCATGAAAATAAAATGCTCAGTTTATCTATATGGAAAACAATAAAGTCAAATAATTCAATAATGATGACAGAAATGCCAAATATTAGATTAAGTCTCATTTAATGACTAGAAAGAGAAGGTTTGAGCATAAAAGGAGGTAAAAGGTTGAAAACATCATAAATAAAGGAACAGGACAATGAAAAGTGAAACCTGTATAAGGGAGAAGTGTCTAAACTGATGTGAGACTGAGAAACCATGTTTACTCTTATGCCTTGTTCCATGCTTATGAAGGGAGAACACTAAAATGGAATGCAGAAAAGAAAGCAACTAAAAATATACAACAAATTGCAAGAACCACGTCAAAACCATGTTTGAGCTATCATTTCATAACACGGGATATGCTTATCAAGTTATCAAGTTATCCATGAATGTAGATCAATCTAAATACTGGAAACTAGAACTCTATTATTGCAAGAGATTCATTTTATTCTTCTGTGACTTAATGATACATATTAGCGATGCACATTAGCAGTCTCATACAACCAAAACCATACCCCTCATAGCTAAAGCATATTCTAACTTTGTACTGTTCAATTTGTACAATTACATAGAAGCTTCTTATAGTAAAGGTTCAGCAAAAGTTGGGTTTACCCAAGTACCATATGAAGCTTAAATTTGGCAGTGCAGAAATACACGTGTTGCATGGACAGAATTATTTGGTCTATTTGTAACAAATGGAATAGTAGCATTTTAAAAGTTCAAAGTACCCTGACGCAGCACAAAAACTTGGTAGGCACAACAGCTTTGTAGAAAAGCTTAGATATGGAATGTCACCAAACTTATAATAGCAGCTTGGAATAGGATGGCAGAATATGCTTAAGAAGGTGAAAACTGATTGGTAATTCTAGCAATCACTCCTAGGAATCTTTAGGCCTCACACCTAAAGTTGGGATGCATCACACAGCCCTAAGGAAGTCGTTAAGTCTGCAGGAAAATTTTATTAATGACCAAAAAACTGGCTTCTCTTTGTGGAGATGTGGTTATTTATAGCTACTAGAACAAAGCTAATTCCAATCCTAATTAGGACTCCTAACTAGAATAGAATTCTAGTAGAAAGCTCGAAAGCTAAACTTTCTTATTCCCCATAACAACTAAAATACTAATTACCAAAAATAATTACTAAACAGAAAATTACCATAAACATAAAATTCCTGCAACTAATCCAAATTACTAAAATATCCCTGCTAGTGAAAATTAGAAAACAAACTCCATAGAATTCAAACCAACTCCCAAGTTGGTTCCTTGTCGTCAAAAGCATGCCAAATCAATGCTTGGGCATTCGACACAACCTTCCCACATCTCCTATAAACCTTAGTGGATTTTTGCCATTTATCTCTATCATACCCCCAAGATGTGCTATTCATTAAAGTTTTTCTTTCCTCTATTATCGGCAGCTGCATATGATTATTTCCAAGTATGTTAGTCATACATTTGCAAAGGGATTGAAAGGGGGCTCTAAGTTTGTATTCCTTTTACTTGTATCTCTACTTTCATCATTTAACATTCTTTTGTAACATAAAAATAATTCAAATAAAAAGTTCAAATTCCATCTCATCCAACATTCCCCTCAGATAAGAACAAAGAAAATTGAGCACCAGCAAGGGGAAACAAAATAAGTCTCTGAAGGGCATATCTCCCAAAAAAGGCTCTAGATGGATTATAAAAGCTCTATACTTCAGAAAGAAGAGCAGCATAAGATGTGATGTGCCTTTCACAGAACAAATGAATGCACAACTACTCTATAAGAATTTCAAAAAAGAAATGGTCATGATTGGATTGCCAAGAACCTCTATGTGACAATGAAGACCACCAGAAAATATCATGCATCTCAGTGTCTTCATCAAGATAGTTAAAGACACATGCCACGCTGGCATTAACAATAAATTGCTCATCCATAGCTATTAGCATTTGATCTATATCATTATCAAAGTATGTGTCATTTAGCACAATCTTCTCCAAATATGTTAAATCCTCTAGCTACCTCGTAACTCACAGGAGACACAACATCAATTAAAGCTATATATATATATATATATTTGTTGCATAAATTGTCAAGAAGATAATTTGCACACATATTTGTCCTCACATCTCTGATACATATATATATATATATACAAGCTCCTACAAATATAACCTTATATAACTCAGAAACATATTTATGTTGGCTAAAATTTAAAAAGATATTACACCAAAAGCATTGATGATTCATGTAAAATAATGCATCAAATTAACTTTCTCCGGGTCCCCAACCTCATAGCACCCAGCTGGACCCACAATTTTCTGAAATTTGCACTACAACATTTAAATGCATATACCTATGTACATTTACAGAAATTTGCATACTCTAATGCAGCAAAACGGTGCATGTTCATTACATGGTACCACATGTTCATATTTACTTCCCTTCGTAAACTCTACATTACAAGTTACAATTACGTTTTCTAGGACGAATCCAAATAATAATCACAATAAGTCGAACTAAAAGCCAAAGTGACTACCTCAAATTCTATTTATGTTGCCAAAACCATTCAAAAGCACCTTTTAGGGGGGCGCAAATAAAAATGAGAGTAGTTCTTAGCTTTTAGCCAAAGGCTCTTAGTCATTTAAGGGACTACTAGTGAAAGCCACATGTTTAGCAGCCTAATTAGCTAAGTGTAAAGGTTTAATTTTGGGACATTTATTGTGAAGGGCATCTAAACCAACTTTTGTAGTAATTCTGTAAAAAATTTACCATCCAATCTACACAGAAAATGTATCCCCTCCATCCAATTTTAGTTGTCATGGCCCAAAGTTGTCCTTCACTCTATACTTGTCATGATCAACTTTAAACAGTCTCAATATATTTGATTGCCCCTCAATTCAAATTTCAATATTCTTAGCTAATTTTCGAGTTTTAACCTTTGTCAACGTTTATTTATTGTTCTCAAATACTATGAAATCAAATACAGGTTTTCAGTTGAGGCATACAAACAAACAAATTATGGCAAATAACAAAATGGGTCAGAATGTAATATTGCTGCTCACCAGCCTAGTGGAAAGAGTGCTGCAGTCATCAGGCCGTCCTGGGAAGACGGTCTCTATGACCATGGTTGGCAAGCCGGCGATAATGTGTTCGTTGGCTGCTCGGCCGCCATCAGCAGCGGCAGCAGTGACGGCTTGCTGGAAGTCAACAGCGCCAACGAGGGTAAGCCGCGCCGAGTCGTTCTCGAATGTTCTGACTCCAGGGAGCTGCTCCTCATTCGACTCAGCCACGGCTTGGAGAAGCTTCTGCTGCCGGCGGTCGTGGTCGGCAGTTGAGGGTACATCTTCAGACGGTTGTGATTTTGGAGGCAAGCAGTGATGACGTGTAATCTTGCGTTGTTTGAGGGGCAATTCTGGAAAATGGATTGCAGGATGGTATGAAGGGTTGGCGAAGAGATGGCTGGTGTGTGTAATGGTGAACGCCATTTGTGAGAATTTTTCAGCTCTCTCGGGCGGAGGGACTTTCAAGGTATGCTAAAATTCCGGAGATCTTTTCTCGCTTAAAGTATCTAAGAATTATCAACTGAGTCCTAAACTTTAGGGTTAAATATCAAAAGTCTCCTGTGGTTTGTGACTCAACGAACGCTCAACTGGCCACGCTATGGTTTGAAAACATGTAAATTTTACCCCTTGTGCTTTGAATGTCATGAAATTTGGACGGAAACATAAAAAATCAGCCATGTAAATGAGTGGCGTGCCAGCCCTCCTAGGCAGCCTGGTTGATCACGAAAACCTCCTAAGATCCCGTTGTCCATTCTTCTCCACTATGAATCGAGTTTCAGTGGTTACCAATTCGAGGGGATGGGGCCTCTTCTCTCGGGTCTCAAGAAAATTAGTCGGGTCCAGCATACCCGAAATCCGAATACCCCTTGAGTAGAAAAAAAAAAACAAAAGAATGAGTGGCGTGCCTTTAGTACTACGTGTTGTGGAGTATGTTTGGATAGGAGATTATTATTATTTGAAATAATTACTGTAACATTTTTTATAGTACGATACATGTGTAATAAAAAAATTGTTGGAAAATAGAAAGTTGATTGGGACTAGTAATTGTGAAGCGAGCAATACATTTGGGAAAAATATCACCTAATTTAACACCAATGTATTATTTGATTTGCCTTTTATACCACTAATATGAAAAAAAAAAAAAAAAAAAAAACCCTTCTATGGTTTAGCGAAGGGATAAAATATCAGAAACCTCCCTTGAGATTTCTCCTAATATCATTTGGTACATTTGAAGTTGTAGAAATATCATTTACCTCACTTAATAATTGTAAAAGATCTATATTAATCCTCATTTGATATATAATTAACATATCAAGTAAATGGAGCTCAAAAATTAAAAAAGAAAAAAGAAACGAAAGTCACTTCCTCCTCTTTCAATTTTTTTTCCAACATTCTCTTTTACTCATTTTTTGGGTGATTATACAACATTTTATTTTAAATTATAATAAATTGAATTTTGTTTATTTTTTACCTTTTGTAATTGTGATAAGGTGGATTGTGATTTATTTTGATGGAATCCCAACATTAACTCAAGTTCAAGTAGAGATCGAAGCTGAAGGAAGAGCAATTTCAAGTTGGTCCGTCTCATTCTATGTGTTTAATCGTTGGTTGTGGTTAATGTTTTTGAGTGTTTTGTTGTTAATTTCAATTGTTATTTATTAGCAAAGTGTACGGGCAGATTTGGTGAAATTGTAAGGGCGAATTAAGTCATTCTGATGCAATCCCAGGATTGACTCGAGTTCAAGTGGAGATTGAAGGTGAAGGAAGAGCAATTTCAATTTGGTCCGCCTCATTCCAAGTGTTTAATCGTTGGTTGTGGATAATGTTTTTGAGTCTTTTGTTGTTAATTTCAATTGTTATTTATTAGCAAAGTGTACGGCCAAATTTGGTGAATTTGTAAGGCCGAATGTCATTCCTGGTCTAGTTAGGACTTTGAGTTGTTTATTAGTTATCCTAGTATGATTAGGTTTTAAATCTTGTAAGGCCTGTAAAAGGCTTATCTCGTTCATTAATAAAATTAGTCAAGAATTTTCAGCAAAAACACTTGTGTGTGAGAGAATTTTCTCTTGATTTCTTAGAAGTGATTCCTTTGAATCCTTTAAGGTTATCTTGAGTGTTCAAGAAATTGGGCTTATCAATTCAAGAACATATTGAATTGTGGTGCCTTTTATCCATCAACTTTGGATCTTTAATTCGATTAGTTATGGGTTGAGATTATATTAACAAGTTCATAACTACTAGAATTAATTGGGTCTAAGTTTTCCGCTGCCCAATCTTACGTATTGTTCGTCTAGGTCTGGGGCTTGTGAAATACGGATTTCATCTCTGACGAGATTTTCCCTCCTTTTGAAAGAGAGTTGTCCTCAAATCGATGGATTGAAAAGAATGCAACAGCCTAGGAAACACTTTTAGGAGAATATACCACATTGCACGTCGCTTGCTCAATCGAAAGATGTTTAGGAGCATGACTGAACCGACGAACAAAACTCATTACACACATGTAGAAACATGATTCATCAAGCTATTGGTAATAGATTTCATAAGTGGATGGAAGAATGAGATTTCATGGACCACAACTGGGATTGGATCTTCAAACCCGATAGCAACAACCTCAAAAAATGAGCATGAAATCTGGTTGGATTCTGCTAGGCAAAGTTGGAAATTTTTGGACAACTTCAATACGTGTAAATAAGAAACGAAAATCAGCGTATAGGGAACTAGGAAATTGGGGTATAAACAATGGAACAACAAGGGATAATCGGGTGGAAGGCATAGAACAAGATATAAGTGGAATGACTCCCTTTGAAATGTGACTATGCCCTTCTACAAGTGATACATACCCAAATCTCTAAGCTCCCACTCTTGAAAAAACAAATTGCACAGGCAGCAGAAGGATCTTTCTTGGTCAGGTTATGGACAAAATTGGATGGACTCTAATCCAATTAAGGACCGCTCGAGATTGATTAGAAGGGTAGTATAATGCCACAATTCAACGTGATCTTAAATTAATAAATCAATGGAAAACTCACGAATCCTCTCAAGTATTCAAGTTTAGAGCTCTTCGACAAGAGACACACAAAAAACACGTTTTCTGAAATTTAGTTTATCATTCATCTTATCTGAAAATAACATTTGAGACAAGGCTTATTTATGGCCTTACAAAGACTCAAAAACCTAAACCAACTAGGGCTCACTTAATGACTTTCCTAAAACCTAATTCGCCTAGACAACTAAAAGAAATAACTCAAATCGGCTCAACTAAAGGTCAACATGACCTAGCCATGTAACTAACTAAACTAATTCTAGTTAGCAACTAACAATTGGAAAACGTTGGAAATAACTTAAAGCAAATGACAACATAAACTAAAACCTGAGTAAAACTAAGGAAACTAATGCAGGGGATCCAACTTTGGTGAATCTTTAATGAACTTCAATCTCTTGTATGACTTGAACATGAACCATGAATCCTATGTTCGCATCATTCCTCTCCTCTTGAAAGTAATTTGCCCACAAATCGGCAAATTGGAGAAAATGAAGCACTTCGGGCAACACTTTCATGCGAGCATATCACGTTGTATGGTGCTTATGCAATTGGAAGAAACTCATGAGCAAAGTCTTCAACCAAGGAATGTACCAATGTATTCGAAACTGATGGTAACGCCAATTTGCTATTAAACCATCACGAACAATCTCTATAAGCACTCGAAGTAACCCTTTGTCATGATTTGTGGATTCGGCACCTACAAAAGAAATTAAACAATAAGTATTTGTAGGTATAAAACTCCTCAAAAATTCACCATTTGCATGCACTGGATAAGGACCGTCATAATGATGCTCAAAGAGACTAGAAAAACTCCTTATCTGGTTATGCAAGGTTGTAAAGTTCAGCACTAGTTGATATTTATGTGGCACATCTTTACAACTTTGCACATCTCGCATGGATGAAACTAAGTAGGAATGGACAGTTTTTGAATCTACAAATGAAGCAACGAAGTTAGTAGCTAATGAACTAGAAAATAGACAAAGAAAGATTGGAACATCATTATCGGAATTATAAGAAAGTATGGAATAAAGTTCAAGTGTAGTCACTCCCTTTGACACTTCATGTCTCCTTCCATCAACCATTTCAACCAGATTAGTCTTTGCTGGCACGTCACACTCTCCATCAAAATCTGCATAAGAAATACAAGAGTTGTGATGGCCCTACCTCTCCCGAGGACGTACCCTAGGGTTCAGTGGGTCGCCTGCCCAACTCTCGCCGAGACTCACTCACTCACTACAGTTCTCAAATGAATTACAAGATAAATTTCAAATATTACATTCAATTTTCCAAGAATTACATATCACGAGTACCAGAAAGTAAACCCTAGAAAAGCTGATAACTACAACCACCACGACAACCATGTACATCTTACTAGTCAACTTATAACAGGTACAAAGTCAACTATTTTATAACCAAAAGTCTATACACCTTCCCTAGCGACCCCCGCGTCGGCCCCCTGTTAAGGAAAACAAATGGAACGGGATAAGTTATATGCTTAGTGAATAATTGGGGTTAAATGTAAAAGCACATTCAAATAAACATATAAATCCAAATATTTCACATCAATACAGAAATATAACATCACAATAGTAGGATACGGGTGGCTCCAAAGCTAGTTCAATTCCCCGAGGTTGAACGCCTGTTGACACTCCGTCAACCAAAGTACTCATGGTCCGTAGACTCCACTTAATTTTCCCCATTCACCTTATCAACCCCCGCTGGCCAGTCAACAGCACACAGCAGCTCGAGCTGTCGCGCCCCATTTTTTAATAAGAAAAATAAATTGTTTTAGAAAAATGAATTTTGGATTATTTTTTTGATTGGAAAATGAATTTTTGATTTAAAAAGAAAATGAAAAACATGGGTCTAAATGGAACTTGGAAATGCAACGATTTGACCCAAATATAGTTTAAAAAGGGTTTTTTGAATGAAAAATGGAGTCGCCACTTGGTATAGAGTTAAGGTGTACCAAGTCACCTAAAAAGGAGGTGTGGGAAACGCCCACGAAAAAGAAAAAAATAGGGTAAATAAGACTACGCATGCACGTATGAGGTGCTTTCTTATTGAGGGGAGGGATTCTACCCCTCTTTCCTTATTTATCTTTGTTGCTTTTTATGTCATCTAATTGTCCAATGTGTTATGTGATTATGTGTTGAGCTAACTTTCCTTGTTTCTTGCCTTTGCATTCACAAACATTAAGAGATAAAAGGTCTGGCATGACCTTCTTTTAGGACCTACTCTTGTAGATAGGCTATTGCACGTTAAAAAAGAAAAATTGTGGTATATTTCGTTCATAAATTACTAATGACATACCATTTTAGGCCTACTCTGGCAAATAAAGGGTTCCTTAGGTCACGTTTCATTTCGAATTGCATATTTTATTGCTTTAATAAACTGGCATCACGCATAAACCATAGAAAGGGAATACCATATAGGGAATCCCGTGTTTAGGAATAAACCGCCACATGTCTCGGATATTTAATCCAATGGGACTTACACGTTTACTATTTCTGTATTACCTAAGGGGTAAAATCCCGAGGTAAGGTGCTAAAGTGAATTTCCTCCCAGATGGCTTC